GTCACGGCCGCCAACTGGTCATCCAGTGTCAGCCGCGAATCCAGGAGGACACCCAGATTGCGCACCCTATCCGAGGGGGCCAAAGTTTCGCCCCCTATAGTCAGCGATGGAACCAGCTGACTATGCCGAGGCGCCGGTAGCCACAGCCACTCAGTCTTGGAAGGGTTGAGCCTGAGTCTGTTCCTCCCCATCCAGACCCATTGTGGATCAATTTGTGGGTGTGAAATACTGTGAAATAATCATGAGGGGTGGATTCTAATTCTAATATTACTGAAGACAACACACCAGAGCAGCCTGGGAAATAAAGGTAAAAATTGTTTGTGGGATTTAAAGGTAGATGACAATCATAAAGCAGTAATGGATATTGCAAAAGGAATCAGGAAAGTGGCTAAAGCTCCTGAACAAAAGTATGAAAATATGTGGAATGATTGGAGTTGGTTAACTTATTGGCTTCTCAATTTTGGATGGCTAAAACAAATATTTGTAGGACTTACATGTTGTGCAAGTCTGCAATATATTCCTCTATGTGCATCTACTTTAACCAAAGCTGTAGGAAAAGCTTTAGGAAAGCCTTAGGAAGAGAAGAAATTATACAGTTAATGGTTATAAGATTTTCTAAGCATGATAATGCTTTTCTAAGCATGATAATGCTTTTCTAAGCATGATAATTTATTACCAGAGTAATAAAAATTAAAAGGGGGGATTTGATAGAAGTAGGTCTTCAAAATTTAATATTAAAGAGAAATTTAAAATTGAATTTGCTGCAGTGGAAATTTACTGAGTGGGGAAGCAACTATAATGGCTGGGAAACAGGAAAGGATAGCATAAAGCAGGGGTGTCAAACTGCCGGCCCACAGGCCAGATGCGTCACGTGGAAGCTGCACCCACCCCATTGCCAGCATGAGGGCTGAGGAATTCTGGGAGTTGAAGTCCACAAGTCTTAAAAGTGCCAAGTTTGAAGTCCCCTGAGTTAGCTGGTAGTGGTGCATATTAATAAACATGGATAAATTCATCATACATTTGTCAGTGCAAAGGGAAAGTGATTCAGCAAAGGAACAGCCACCGAAGAAATTAAAACTGGTACTTTTTTTCTTTTTTCTACAGTTTGTAATATTTTATTAGATTATAGAATAAAATACAAAAATACAAAAGCAAATAGTAGGACACAGTGGGGAGGAAAAGGGGGGGGGAAAGTGAGGCGGAGAAGGGAAAAAGAACAGACTTCCTCTGCTGCAGTAGAAGGAAGCATTAACATTGAACCTCAACTTTTTACTTTTCTATAATATTATAAACTAGCCATTTCTATAACAACAAATGAATCTAATCAGTAAAACCCAAATTTCCCCCCCCTTTTTAGTCATCAAGTTTTTGACACCTTGCTAAGCACTGGTGGTACTCAAATATTGTCATGTCCTAAAAGTGGTACAATCTGTGAAAAGGTTGAAAAGCCTTGTTCTAGAAGTCCCAGATAAAAGTAAGCATGATAGGCTACTCAACTAAAAATCCTGACATGAATATTGTCTATTGGGAAGTTCTTTTCTATTCCAATTTCTTCATCCAGGAAGCTTTATGTAAAATTCAAGGGTTGAGGTTTTTAACTTTGTGTCAAAAGTCCAGAAGTATCTACCTTAAATCATAATGGATATGGCCTATATCAGAAGAAACAAGTGTACAATCAGATAGTTTTATATATGGGAATAAACCAGTGAAATCAGAGGAAATGGGGAATACAACGAAACAAAATAATATTAGAACAGTGTGGCCTTCATATAGTCAGTCTGTGTTCTCAGTAGGGGCACTTGTTGGAAGATAGTTATGATGGGTGATGTTGTCACCGAAAACTAAATATTGTTGGTTATTAGATGCGTTTAACCAGGAATTAGGCAAGTTTTGCGAGACTATGGGGACATCATCCACAACAGCAAGGGTAACCCCACCGTTTGTGTGGGACATAATGAAGTTTTTACTTGTGTCTAACTGAGAAAATGAAAAATTAAAGTAGCAGTTGATGATTGTATGTTCTAACTGGTAAATAGTTCCATGAGAATTATTTCATTTTGCATTAAGAGTCCATGTTTTGTACAAAGGCAGGAAAGTAGAGTGAACCAGTTTGTCTGTTTGATAATATTTGATAAAAGTAGACTTGATAATAACAATGCCTACTAGTTGTCCAATTGCATTAATATTTCATATTTTACATATTTATATCTTTTAAACATGTGTTTAAAAGGCATACTCATTACATTAATAAACAGAGAGACTGGAATGAAAGAAGTATTTTTAAACTGCTATGGCCAACCCTTGCTTGGCATTTTTCCCTCCATATTTTTATTTTTGCTTTTTTGTTTTTGTTTTAGTATGCAAACTTTAAAGGAAAAGAAATGGAATAGAAAAAGAAAGTAAAACAGAAAAATCCACATCCTTTTAGTTCAATGTTTAAATATAGTTTTAAATCATGACCACACAAAATTATTATTATTTTTTCATTTTCTTTCTTCAAAAATTCAGAGCAAATATTATCTTCAATCCAAGATTGTAAATCTGGGATAGCAAAAATCTTTCTACCATTTTTATTACATAAATATTTGTAATTAGTTCACAGTTCTTCATCATTAGCAAATTCCAATTGTTGGTATAATTCATTTTATTTACATTTATTTCCTAATTTTCTAATATATGAACAGATTTTATTTTGCAAAACGGCTCTAAGTAGCTTTTATTCTTTTATATCTAAATTACAAATCCCTCATGTTAGCTTTTAATTTTTATCAGAGCTAGGTTGTCTAAACATACATGCATTCTTGAAGAACTAAAATTTAACTTTAAATAGGCTGTTTGATTCCAAAGATTATTAATTCAGTTTTCAAGGTGAAAAATAATCTTCAGTCAAACCACAAGCTAAAATGCAGAGAACACATTTATCCTTTTTTAATTGAACAGAAAAATATGAAGGAATAGTTGACTAAAAAAACCTAACCCTGTCCATTTTGTGTAAGTAAGTCTTCTTAAAATTAGTTTTTCCTTTCTTTAATTTCTAAAAGTATATTTTTATCATGTAATAAAAAGATTAGCATGGTAATCAAACTTTATCTATGTTATCTATTCCCCCTTAACAATTTATAAGCTAAGAAGAACAAAGTACACTCAACCAGAATATATTTACTCTTTACACTTCTTTGCTGGATTTCAAACTAAGCTTCTCAACAAAAACAAGTCCACTTGAGGTTTGCTTAAATTGTAAACATTTTTTATTTCATTTTGAAGAATGCACAAAGTATATACAATATGCATATACACAAACATTTCAATTGTATGCATTAATGGAAATTAAATAAAACAATTGTGTCAGAACATACAAGAACCACCATGTTACAAGGCTATGAAAACACTAACACCAGAACTTCCATTTATATTAAAATTGTGACAAATATTTACAAATATTCTGTCTAAATTAAGAAAGCAACTTAGTAAGGTTTTAAATATAAGAAAGAAATATATCAAGAACAAACTATAATTAATTAAAGAATAGAAATTGTGACAGAAAAGTAAAAAAATGAGGTAGGAGAGAAAGATAGTTTTATAATGTTTACTTGACCCAAGAGTTCATACTAAAATTCAGTTAACTGAAATTTTGGATCTATAATAATAGCCCCTCTACTATTAGTGACAAAATTAATAAATCTGTCTTACTGTTGACAAGAATATTGATTTCAGAAATAATTATCCTTAACAGGAAATATTTTTGTAACTTTAGAAGGACAATTGACAGTGCTTTAATATACTTTCTTTTTCATTAAATAATCCCAAACTTCCTTGACAAAATTCACAATATGCACATATAAGAATGTAAACAAACTCAATCTTGTTTGCCTGAGGATATAAGGACCAATATCATATATAATCCTTTATGACAACAAACAAATTGTTCAGTTTATATCTAACCACACAGTTAAAATGAAATAAAAATGGTATATAAACAGGGAGCAATCCCCACACTCAGTAGTACAGATAATATTACCTGGTTGGGTAATGAAATGTCTCAAGCAAACAAGCTGAGAGAGCATCAAGGATCCAGTGAAATAAAATGATTAAACAGAACATTAAAGCTTGGCTAAAATCAAACTTGACTTTTCTTGTGATGCTGTAGCATCATCAGAAGGCCTCCTGCAGCCTTTGGAAAAATCAGGAGGCCTTGTGTTGCAGCCTGCAACCTTTCAAATATTTGCAATCCCTGAAATAGGATAATAGAAATAATTACAGATGTACAAAATGGTTTAGTTTTTCATACAGACCGATCAATTTCATGACAATCTTAGCATGCCCGGTCCTTTTTGTCAGCTCATTACAATGCACAGGCCATTCCAGAAAGTCCTCCAAGCCCAGGAACAATCTGTTTGTACAGCAAAGGGGGAGGAAGGGGTGCTCTCAGAAGCTCCATTGCACATACAAGGTGTGACAATACCTCCTCCTGGATTCTAGGAATTCATTTTGACTATTAATTCTCTCTTCTAAAAACAACCGTCTCATAGCTATTCTTCACCAGGAAAATACTTTGTGCAAGAGCCAATAAGGTTAGAACAGCGCAAAAAAATTTGCAGCGGTTAGCTGCTTACATAGAACTTCAAAATGCTAATTTCAAGCTGAAGTGAAAATGCCTTCCCACATCTTCTCATCTATTGAAATGTATTGAATAGAATCCTGTGTATGGCAAGAGTATTTTTCAAGATAAATTACATAAAGATAGTAAACTTAAAAAAAAAATAAAACATGAACCCTCCTGAACTATATCTTTTCTGTTCCTTTTTGCATTCTGTTTTCTCAGGTCTTGGGTTAGGGTGGTTGGGGCTCCTGTCCATTATATATGGGTGTGGTTCGCCAAATTTACCATTGATTCTTGTTTACTTTTTAAATTATTTTTATGATTATTATATTTTATTTTTATTCTGTTGATTCTACTGTATGCTACTCTGAGTCGGTTGGAGTCAGGATTATCCAAATCAAGTATTTAACCCAAACTATTAAATGTTAATTCACAATAGGCCACTCTATATAGTATGCCTATGCTAAGGTTTGATGATATGTTCAAAACTGTCTATTTCTACGAAGAAATTTCCACACCTCCCTTTCTCAAAAGTAGACAAATGGATGCACAGACAGACTTTTGGTGATGTGTACTTATCTGCATAACGGACTTATGTCTGTTTCCAAGAAATCTTAGTCCTTAGCGTAAAATGGCAAAGAAACCATAGAGCTCAGGCCCAAATATCTCAGAAGGCTTGTTTCCTATGTACCATGATACTTTTATAGTTAAGTAGGAGGGCAACCCATTACTTCATAACAATGGAACAATTAATTCCATTAATTGTAGAATGGTCCTTTTATTTTCATTACAAACTTAGTGTTGCCCACCCTTTGAAATATGTAACTGAGGATGATTTGTTAAAATAGATTAAATTATTTCCAAACAGCTAAAATTAAAAAAGTAATATTTTTAAAAAATACATATGTACTGTACTGAATGTACTAATGTACTGAAAGGAGAATAAGTAAAAATTTCATTTACAAAAAGCACAATTCTTGCATTTAGTGCTCATTACCAGCGCAATTTTTGGATTAAGAGTTCTTTTGCTAACATCATTTCTTAGTTTTGTTTAACATTCAGCAGTTGATTTGCTGACTTTTTTTTTATAAAAGTTTAGTTATATAAGACTAAAAAAATCTGCAAACTTAAAAGTTGTTGCATTCTATACAACATAGTATTGCATTACATCCTCAGAAATCTCTTTCCAAAAATATGAACAGATCTGCAGTCTATATTTTAATAAAAGAAACCACATAAATAGGTTTCAAACACAACCCATAAGTGAGTTGCAAGCGTTAGTTTTTTCTTTCAATCAGAGAAGTCATAGATCATCAAGATATCAAGTCTAGTCAACAGAATTTCCCTGTTCATTGTTTCTGCTGCCCATGTGCCCATTACCACTCACATTCAGGTCACAATTATGGATATCCTCTGGCACATGATGTGCAAAGGTATAGTTCTCACTATCAGTTACAAGCATGTCTGATGGTTCCTGCAGGTCCGAGCTCTTAGATATTTTTCTGATTGGAGGTGGGGAAGGTGGTGTAGTACTTACTGGTCCAGAAAAGGGCCTGTACACCCCTACCTCAGCCATTTCTGGTCTTGTGGAATTATCAAGCAGGTGCCCATAAACCATAACATCCTCAATGACTGCATAGACATGAGAATCATTCTTCTTCCTCTCCTTTTTAAAAATGCCCTGCCTTCCAGGTAACAAGGTGTTGACATTGGTATTATAAACTCCCACCACTGGGTTTTGGCTTTCCTTTCTTTTGCTAAAAAAGAAGAGGAAATAAGTTTTAAAACAATACACTTTTGCATTTTACTCTCTCACAAATTTTCATGATGTTGATTTACAAAGCTTACACTCTCATTTTGCTAATTAAAAGGTGTCACATTTAACTTTCTACCATGATTCTTTTCCCCTAGAGGAAAAAAAATGGTTCTCACAGTTATCATCAAGTGTTGTCTTACAAGTTTTAAGCTCTTTCTGAAAGCCAGCTTCTACTTTCTCCTATAGATTTTCACAGGTCTTAATAACAAATTCATTTAGTTAATTGCCTGGGAAATAGTCTATTTTGTGAGGTTTGCTAACCTTAATTCAATAAAGGAAATGGGTAATAAAATATTATTTCAATTTTATTTTGTTTTTTAATATCCTCATATTGTGACTTCACTAGTTTATTCATCCACCTTAATAGAAAAACCCTAAGGATACATTTAACTGCCAATGAATTATTACACATGGCCAGCAGCTTATATGCTCTAGTCAGGGCTTTTTTTCTCATAGAACACCCAAAACGGAATTCCGGCACCTTTTTTGGATGGAACCTTGTAGGGTAGACAAGGTGGGTTGTATGACGTGTGTGAGTTCTGCCACCTTTTTTTTTTTTTTAGAAAAAAAGCACTGGCTCTAGTGAGTAATAACATGCAGAAACCTTATTAATAAAAAAATAGAAACCACAACGTGTTTGGTTCAGCCCCAAAACTAGGAAAAATAACTATGTTTTAGATGGAAAGACAGAACCTAATCTGCCCATTTAGGGGAAAATTCCAAAATAAGTTGGGGTGTTGTTTTTTTTTTGTTTTTTGTGTAGCCCTTTATCTAACCCCTTTTTGGAGAATCAGTGGATTTCCTATCTCATTTTCCCACAGGCTTTGAGTAATTTATTAATTTAATCATTTCCTGTTAATTAGATTTTCCATTTTATGTATGGTTAAATCACGTAATACAAAACAGAAAATGTATAGTACTTTGAGTACAATATGACTCAGATTTCTATCATGAGCATCAGTTCAATCTTGCTGACACAGACCTGGCCAATTTAGAAACAGGACTGTCTACAGGCACGGAGAGCACAGTCATGACTGTTTCATCAGAGCATGATTTCCACTGGCAGGAAAAAAAATGAAGAAACTTGGGTTTATCCCATCCTGAGTGAGTGGTGATTGACATAATGACACACAAAACTGGCTGGGATGCTTTGGGAACTATCTGACCTGTTAATAAAAAGGAAGAGAAGCTTGCAGAGGGGTCAGTGAGTTTGTGGCAAAGCAGTGGTAGAAACCACTATATCTAAAAGATGACCTTTGTATCTTCCTTATGGAGGCTCTCAAAAATATTCCCCAAAATTACAATTCAGTAAACATTATTGACAGAAAATCCTAAAGCGTTTGGAATTATAATTATAATTCTTTGAGAATGATTTCTGAAAATCTATCCTCAGAGAGAACCACAAAAAAAGGAAAGAGAAAAACCAAGAGGAAGAGGTGGACTATCAAAATTAGCCCTAGTTACAACTTGCTAGTTGTTGTTTTGTTATACTTATATTATCAAGGAGAAGGGAGGCTACTGTTCAGAATATTCTGCATAAGATGGCAGCCTTGGATACTATGCAGTGGGAATGGAATTTGACATTCTACTTCAGACCCTGTAATATTTTGAAACAGTCCTGATTCATGTACACAACTCTTATCATGATATCCTTGCATATAGGACAACAGCTAGCAAGATCTTTTATTTTCCCTCTTCAGACATTTTTTTCAAGTTTACCTGCAACCCATATAGACAGTCTGAAATTCCTAGCCTGACTTCTCCTTTTCCCTTAGTCTTCCCATAGATGCCCAATTGCCATTCAATTAATGGCAAGGAAAAAGCTTAGCAGAGTTTTCTGTTTCTTCCCCATATAGCTCATCGTCCTGGGATTGGAGGGAGCGTAACTGTGACAGGGCAAAAACTAGAGTAGGGAGAGTCTTTTCTACTTGCTTCTTCCCAGGCAACTTTCCACTTAGCTCCAGAAACAACTAGTTCTGAGATAGGAGGACTGTGAAGTATTCTTCCTGGGATGGGAAGTATCTGTCTTTCATTCCAACAGACAGAGCCTCTAAAAGACAGATGATATAACTGCCACAGATGCAACCTCTCTTTCAAAGGAATTTCTGAGGGGAAATACCCCTATTGCATTGTTTGCTTAAGGCCTGCTAATCTCAGTTGACAATAAAAAGAAACGAGTATGTTTTAATTTCAATGAAAAAGGACACTAAAACAAAATGAACTTACTTTTTTCTCTTTTTCTTAACACAGCAGATGAGGAGCCCAATAATGGCTAGCACTGCCATCCCGCCAGCCACCACACCAATTATGACAGTCACATCTGTGAAAGGACGAAGGGAAAAAGATGGTACAAAATAAGAGGCAAAGGCTTTTGGTCCTTCCAAAACCCATTGAAGGCTTCTCATACAGAAGATCAAAAGGGCTTGGAAAGAGAGAAGATTCTTCCCCTCCAGTCTCATCTTCCATGTCTTGAATAAAATACCCTCAAGACCAATTAAATGTATTGACAATTTACTCAAAGCCAAATTTAAAATATTGGTGATTACATGCATGTTTGCATAGAATTAGAAAGAAGGGAACAGAAATCAACATGAAATACATGAACAATTCACAGACTGGGTAGATACATAATATTTTTCCAATAATTAATAGCTGGGTGGTAAGAAGAAAGGAAGGGATGGTGAGGAAGTTGAAGAAAGAGAGAAGGAAAAAACAAACAAACAGGAGAGGAGTCATAAGAAATTATGTGGCAGGAAAAAAAGTCATTTACATAATACTGGCTCTTTTCAAAGATACTCTTCATAGGAGGTTGAGAGAGGCTATCTGATGCCTTCCTCACTTGTGAACTTTCATGCCCAACAGCATTTTGATTGCTGCAATTTACATTTACATCGCGCTGAAGAAATATCCATGTTAAGAAGAATGATGCACAAAATAAGAGATGTCATATTGATTCATGTCACATTTTTAGGCCTTTTTTGTACCCAAAATTAAACCATAGGCTAAAGTGGGGTGGGTCTAGTTCCATGGACTAGTAGGTTTAAAAGAAAGATTCATTTATGCAGAATAGTTTCTTCTTTGTATGAAATTTTATAGGGGACTAGGTTGGGTAACAATATGATCTCACCTGAATGTTTTTGAAATGTCACCAAAAATTGCAAACTCAGTTGTTGCTTGGCAGATGGCTTACAATTACTGATATTAATCCAAAAATGTTGTCTCATATTCAGAGTCTTTGGGAGTACATTATCATCACGGAACACGGTTTCTACTGCTTTTGGACTCTGTTCTTTAATGTAGATAAAAGCTCTACTCTTTTCACATGTTATGCCCATCCTTTCCTTTAAAAATGTCAGCTGTGCAACTTGCTTTGGTGGGACACTGATATTCCAGTACACTGACATTAAAGGAAGAAGGCCTTCCAGCCAGTTAGGAGTCTGTACATAAACTTTGGCTTTTGGATCTGGACTAAGGGTGAAAATGCAATCTTCTGTAGAGACAAGGAAGGAAAAAAAAACATGTCTATTCTTTATTTCTATAACACAAATCTCAGACAACACAATTGCTTAAAATGATAGCAGCTGCTTTACAGTAATCAACAATGAATTTAGATCTACAGGTGCCCTCCATAAGTTATTCCAAGAATGACTGATTAGAACTCCATAGCTGCTAATTAGGATCTGCCTGATCACATCATACATGCTACTTATCTGTTTTATACCTTCTCATCTGCAAACATGCCTGGGTGTCTTATATTTTGTAATGGCTTCTGTGATGATTGACCTCTTCTTTGTGGTATTTCATTACCAATAAAAGTAACCAGGATCATAGTAGCCAAAGACCTGCTTTTTTTTCTGTGCCCTCCTCTATTTTATGCCAGCTTACTATTTTTTTTTAATTTTGCTTTATGGAATGGACGTTTGCACAGTAAAAAACTTTTGCTTTCTTTTTTCTAATAGTCTCCCTCAAAAGGGCTACTTTCTGGATGATAATGATTTCAATTTAATATATTGTGGCTTTTCAATGGAGTAGTCTTGAAGTATCACTTTTACAAGAACAGATTAAAAAAAACAAAAAAAACCCAGTCTACCGTAGTTTCTTCCTAGAATCATCTGAACATTGTGCCGAGAATGTTTGGGTATTTCTGATTCCACTAGTGAAAATAGTTCATACTGGCCCTAATTAAAGTGTTTTCTCCCAGGATAAATATAGCTTCTGTCTCCAACCCATCCAAATACCTTCTATGTTTTTATTTATTTATTACATTTCAATGCCACCCAACTCACTGATATAGCTACTCTGGACGGCTTGCAATATAATGTTTTTTTTAAAAAAACAATTAAATATATCTGTTCAAACATTATTGGGTAATTGTAATATACTAAAATGCTCTTTGGACTGGTACCTGTTAAATTGTTGGATAGCATGCATGTTTTTCCTTTAGCTTATTGTTTTTAATTTAATTCTCAGCCTTATCAAATGGGAAATCTTCATTGCTGATAATTTGGGGAACTGAAGAAATGAATGTCTTGGAAGGTTGGTAGACTGCTCGGGCTAACAGAAGGTTGTCATAGAGCATACTCTGCTCCAAGCTCTCCAGGGGAAGACTAATATACGTACAAAAATGAAAAAAAACCCACCATCCCCAAAACCAATAATAAAACATGTTGCAAGCTAGAATTAAAGATGAGTTAGCCAGGCTTTAAGTATTTAGGCAAGGATGCATTTGAGCCCTGTTTTTTTCATGGCTCCTTAAGCTTTCACTTACATATTACCCTCCCGACAGGATAGTCTGGAACTGTTGCCCATCTATATGACGTTTGATCTTGTTTCCTTATCATATGTTATTCCGAGTACTAATTAAGTATTCCACATTGTGATGGAACCTAGTTATCATACCTCAAAACATTGATTTCAGTGTAATAACACAGAAAATGAATTATATAGAAAAGAGCACTACATTTGATTCTTAGTTTAGTAAGGCATAAATTCCAAAAATCTTTAAATATTGCATGTAAGCAAGGAATAAAAGAAAACAAACTCACCTTGTATAACTGGTTTAAAAACCAGTTTCAGATCTCCTTTCTGAGCATTAGACTCATTGAACCATCTCTTACCATATGTCTTAAGGGTTATGGTGACATTATCTTTAATCTGGATTTTTTCAATGTCTCCAACAGGACAAAAATGACCAAGACTCCATGGTCTTCCTGGACTGGAGCCATTAATAACATAACTATAACTTCCACTGCACCTTTGATCCCGATTTGGGATATGTTGCTTGAGTTTCAAAGTGGAGGACCTGATTTCTATATTTACTGCTTCAAGAGCTTGAATTTTCCATGTAAATGTTTCAATTAAAATTGGCATCTGGAGAAGAACAGAAGGTACAGCCAGCTGGAAGAATAGGTTTTCACATGTTCTGGCATTCCAGCAAACTGTATTCAGAAAAAAACAGAACACAGCAGATTTGAATCTGAAACTAAAAAGAAAATCAGGCAATTTTCTAACTTTCCCACTACTGTTTTTTCTACATGGCAAGCATCCTTTTCTACATGGAAAGTTTTCTGGTAAATCAATGAAACATAGAATTTGAGAAATCTGTATTTGAGTAATTATCCTGTATATTAATCTTCCAAAGATGGTGCTCTCCAAATATATTAAGGTTCACCTTTTAATTCCCTACCCATATTTTTCATTGCAACAAACTCTCATTAAACTACTTTCAAGAATCCAACTATATTAGTTCAACAATCACATCAAGTATATAGAAAAGAAATATGGAACTAAAAAGTCTCATTTGGTTTTTGAGTAATTTGTGATTGTTAATGTAGTATATTTTATTAAAATGAAATAATTTGTAATAATGATGTTTAATATGTCAGTTTAGAAGAGAGCTAAAGGATGTTATAGAATTGTTAATTTAAGGATAATATAATTTAAGACAGAATATAACTATTGTATTGTAAACCCTGTGTGTAGCTCTGGGAAGTCGGGGGGAAGGGAGGGGGGTGGGGAAGGGTGGGGTATGAGGGAGGTGGGGAGTTATATTGTAAAAATTTTAAAAAATTTTCAATTAAAAAAAAAACACAATCACATCAAGTGATTGTATACTTTGTTTCTAACTTGGCATATTTCATGATCCCAGATGTTGTGATTCGTAAAGCATACGATCACTTAAGATGCACAAAGCTAGACAATCATGGTAATCAGCAACAATGGCTTCCCACAATATGTAAATTCACTAACTCTCAATATTCCCTCTCTTAATTTATACTGATATGCGAAGCATGTCATACATGATTATTTTATCATATAACCCTTAATGGCCCATATAACACTTAATGCACAAGCTGCATTGGGTGCTGATTTGTTTCTGGGTCCAATTCAAGGTGTTGGTTATGACCTTTAAAGCTCTACATGGCATGAGACCTCAGGTTACCTATGAAGCCATCTTCGTCCTATTAGAATATCCCATCCATTCAGGCAGAGAAGGCAAGCTGCAGACCGTATCAGTTAAAGAAGTCTGATTGTGGGGTCCAGGAAAAAAGCCTTCTCTGCCGTTTTCGTCACCCTGTGGAACATTTTCTCTCTAGAAGTGAGGGGGGCCACTCTCCAGGCTTTCCAAAAAGGAGTGAAAACATGGCTCTGTGGCCTTTCTTGGGCTCACATAGAAACATGACGCTGTGGGCTGGTTAGTGCCTTGAAAGTTCTTCCCTGCCTTTTAATTAACCTTTAAGATTAATGTTTAATCAATCTTTGCTTTTTTAAGTTGTAAATTTTATATTCTGTTTTCACTGTTTAATATTTTATCTGCATACTGCCCAGAGGCGGTGATGGAGATGGACAGGTGTGTGTGTGTGTGTGTGTGTGTGTGTGTGTGTGTGTGTGTGTGAGAGAGAGAGAGAGAGAGAGAGAGAGAGAGAGAGAGAGAGAGAGAGAGAGAGAGAGAGATGAATCAGTGATTTCTGAAGCATTTAGCTCTTAGAAAAACTGTAAATTTGAGAGTTATATGACTGCCTTTTATCCTCAATGTCGCCATGTTTCAATAGTATTTGGAATAATTTCCCAGAGAGGCAATGGCCACCCTCAGATCACCATCATTATATGTTTAATATGCTGTGCATTAATAGATATCAAATGGAGATATTTGAAGATATTATAAGACATTTAGAAAAAAAACCTGGATGTCACCAATATTCCTTCCAGGTTATTGGCTTTTAAAAGGCACTTAGCTTGCCTTTCAGTATTAATAAAGAATTTCTCAACTATCTTTTTGACAGTATTGTTACAAACATAAAACATTTACACTGAAATATGGTGAGTGGAATTGGGGGGAAAGAGATTTTTTTTCTCCATTGTCAAAGAGAGTAGCAACTGTATGAATAGGACCAAAAAACTATTCTAAGAAATAAGGAATCACCACAGATAAAGCCTTGCCTTCTTTAAGAACGGGGAAATCCAAAATAAGGCATTTGATAATTGAATTGGGCAGAATGGAATTTGCCAATAAGCCCTTCATATCTTCTTCTTCTTGTGCCATATCCGTTATTGGACGTTGGCGATTATGTTGGCAATCCTATTTTTATCAGCAGCCGCACGAAAAAGTACTGCTGAGTTTTGTCCAAACCAGTCGCTTAGATTTTGAAGCCATGATGTTCTTCTTCTGCCTGGACCTCGTTTGCCTTCAATCTTTCCCTGGAGGATTAAATGGAGTATGCCGTATTTTTCTGGGTGTCGCATCACATGTCCGAAATATTCTAACTTTCGTTTTTTAATTGTTTTGATAATTTCCCTTGGCTTTCCTACGCGGCTTATCATCGCCTCATTTCTGATCTTGTCAACCCAGCTTATACATAACAGTTGCCTGTAAATCCACATTTCAAATGCTTTTCGTCTCTTCAGATGGCCTTCTGTCAGGGACCAACTCTCTACTCCATAGAGCAGGATAGAAAAAATATAGCATCTGATAAGCCTAATTTTCAATCTTATGTCGTGACTGCAGAAGACCTTTTTCATTTTGAACAATGCTGTTCGAGCTTTCTCTATCCTTGTCTTTACTTCAATGGTCATGTCCCAGCTTTCATGTAAATTAGAACTGAGGTGTGCATGATCCTTTCAACTTTTTCTAATGGTATTCCTTCCAAATTTATTGGTGGTAAATTAATGGGTTGTTTGCTGACGACCATGATCTTGGTTTTTGAGGTGTTAAGCTTCAAGCCATATTTTCCAGATGTTTCTGTGACTCTGTTGATGAAGAGCTGAAGGTCTTCATTCTTACTGGCAAGCAGAACTGTATCGTCCGCATATCTTAAATTGTTGATTCAAACACCATTTACTTTGATGCCAGCATCAATGTTTTCCAGTGCCTCGTTGAAGATTAACTCAGAGTAGATATTGAACAACAATGGAGACAGAATACATCCCTGTCTGACCGCTCTTCATATTTCTGCATCAGCTGAGTATTTTTGGCCTAGTCTCACATTTGCTACCTGATGCCAATATAGATTCTTTATGATTTGGATGTCTTTGTCATCTAGTCCCCCTTGTTTCAGGATTTCTAATAGTTGCTGTGTCTTATTTTATCAAATGCTTTTTCAGAATCAATAAAGCACATGTAAACACTGTGATTGACATCTCTACAATGCTGTACAAGAACCTGAATGCTGAATAGCGCATCTTGTGTACCAAGATTGTTTCTGAAACCAAATTGTGTGTTACCTAGACGCTCCTCAATTTTGTTGTATATTCTTGTGTGAATTATTCTCAGGAATATTTTCAGGGCATGATTCATTAAGCTTATTGTTCTGTATTCTGTACACTTCTTTGCATTTATTTTTTGGGGGATTGTCACAAAGGTTGATTTTAGCCAATAATTTGGTATCTATCCTGTTTCATATATTCGACTGAAGAGCTGTGGCAAAAAATTCTTCCCATTGTCTTCTAGCAATTTAAAATTTCTACTGGGATATCATCAGGTCCTGTGGCTTTTCTTGTTTTTTGCTATTTTTATTGCATGTTCAACCTCCTCCATAGTGATGTTTGGTCCAGTTGTTATACTTCCCATATCTATATCATCCCTAGTGTCCTCAATATATTCATTCCATCTTTTTAGCTTTTCGTCCTCATCTAAGATAATTTCCCCCTCTTTGTCAACTAAGTTGTTGGTTTTCTTTTTATAGTGGCCTGCTGCTTCTTTCACTTTTTTGTGTAAATTGAAATTATCATGCATACGTTCTGTCTCTTCTATTTCCTTGCATCTTTTTGCAAACCACTTTTCTTTTGCCAGTTGAATTTTTCTTCTAATTGTTTTCTGCAATTCATTGTATTTTTCTTTGTTTTTATTTTTATAAAGTCTTTTTTCATCCATGAGATGAAGAATTTCTTCCGTCATCCTCCGTCATTGTTTCTTGTGGTACCCCTCTCTCTGTTTTGAATTTGTTACCTCTACTATTGCATTTTTAAATTTATTCCAGTTCACTTCTACATCTTCATCATTCAGTTGTTGGTTTCTCTTAAATGAATTTCTAGTTCTTCTTTTATCTTACCTCCATGTTTAATGATGAAGTCTCTGTCAATTCTTGGTTTAGCAAGATTTGGGTTTTTAGTTTCAGCTGGACTTCAGCAAGTAGTAGATTATGATCGGATGGTACATCTGCACCTGGGCATGTCTTTACTGATTTTACTGAGTTTCTAAATCTTTTGTTTATTGTAAAATAGTCAATTTGGTTCCTCACTATATTATTTTGTGTATCTGCTGGTGATCTCCAAGTGTAGAGGCATCTTTTTGGCAACTTGAAAAAAGTATTCATCACACATTGGTTATGTTCCTTGCAGATGTCTACAAATCTGTCACCTCTACCATTTCTGGTTCCTAAGCCAAAGTTTCCAACTACAGGAGTATCACTTCCTTCTCCCACTTTTGCATTGAAGTCCCCCATGAGTATATTGTGAGCCCTTCACATAACTGCTTCCATTTTAGATCAAGAGAAACCAGAACTTTGATTCAGTCTAGTAAAAAATTGGAAGCCTCTTCAGTTCTGCAAATATTGAAAACATGTTCTATTCTTTCTAGTTAACTATTGCATTCTGAATTCTAGATAACATATATTGTGGTAGTGATCAGAGTCAAGTTTGTCTTTACATTCTATTTAAGATTGCTCTTAGGATCAATGTAACATAGAGATGAATGCTGAAAAATATAGCTAAACTTGGGTCCAAAAAGTATTATTCATTACTGCAGACCATATTATTAGCATGTGCCATATTTCAATAAATTATATCTTTTCCCAATCTGGTATGGTATGAATATATTTTTTATATATAGCTTTTTATAATCTCTAGCCTTCATGTCATGAGTAAAGATGACAGGAGTGGTAATTCTACACAAGTTGCAGTTTTCAGATAGAATTAGATTGTAAAAATGTAATGGCAAGGCATCTTGGGGCAAGTAGGAATCTGGTTCCTCCTATAGTATATGATGGTGCTCGGTTCTACCTGACTACTGAAAGTCTGCTTTTTTCCTAGTTTTCCAGCTCTCAGAAGCAAAGTTAGAGAGGGGAGAACAATACTGAAGTTCAAGTAAACAAAGAACAAAATACATTATCAGTGGACATCTGCTTCTTTCATGTAACAAAAATCTAAATAATTTTCTCATACCTATACTTTGCTCAGCAATTATCCTTATATTCTCTAAATTTTGGCACAGGAAGGTAACAAAATATGTGCGACCATATTCTAAAGTCACATTTGGTTTGCAGTTTCTGCTAGAGTGAACACAGATCAAGCATTCATTCATTGATGATTTTGAATAAACTGTAAGATTAGTCTTCTCATGTGTTAGATCAATTTGGTAGGTTACATCTAAAAACAAACAAAAATACATAAGATCAATTTTTAAAATAATTATCATATTCTTACAAGAAAATGGTACTGTTGTTACCTCAGGTTTCAGTTAGATCTTTTGAGGGATAGACTATTAGTATGCAGGTTTGCTATGATGGACTCTGAAGCAATGAAAGATTTGCAGATTTGAATGGGCAGATAAAATTGCCTGATTAAAAAATAATAATCTGAAGTTTGATTTAACAATAGATTCATGCAAGAGTAACTGATCTTAATTTTGTATCCACATACTAAAAACCTAAGATTGAAAATCTTAATTTTAATATTTGGATGATCTGTTTGTTTTGATAAGAAAGAGAAAAGATCATTTCCAGTAGCAGTTAAAATGTCAGGTACTCAATTGTATACATTGCATATATATCTGGGGTTGAATGCATATATATCTGGGGTTGACAAGAACTATAAGCCAACACAAGTAGAAGATACTAGTTGGGGAATACTTCTTCAAATTTAGTTAATTTGCAAACACATTAACCAAAGAAAATGGTCATAACAGAGAGAAAAATGGTTACTTACTCTCTTCATTTTTAGGGTAATCTACTACCACTTTAAATAAGAGACTGAGGAGTCCTGGCTTAATATCATCTTGGTCACATCCATACAGGGAAAGGTTGAAACTACCAGGAATATTGACAGGTTGCACATCATCCAGGCGTAACACTCTAGTATCAGGAAAATAATCAGGTAATGAGTATTCCACCCGTTCATATTTCCGTTCACAGTTTGGTTTTGTATAATTGATGAAGTTGATATCTGCTCTTAAGCTGGATGGAAGAACAAATTGCCATGTCATGAGTTCATCTTCGGGTAACCCCAATGGATAATTCGCAGACATCAAAATTGCTGATGATTTGCCTTTAAATGTAGATTCTATAATGCATAGTCCTATATTTAAAAAAGGAGAAAAATTTACTTCAAAGGAGAAAAATTCCATGTACAGTAATCAAAGCTTCTCAAAGCTTGAGGCACTAAAATTAGTTGGATGCACTGCAGCAATTCACTTCACTTTTGATTGTTCAGAACGCAATGAAGGCATTGACCAATTCCTCTAGTGAATCTAGATAGTGAAAATGCCTTTTTAAATATAGCCTCATTGAAGTCCAACAATAGCATTCAGTTTTCCTCCAAATCAATGTCTCTTTTCAGCTGATATACTATACTCCTCAAACCCTGCCAAGGAGCATGAAAAAGTGGGTGTGCATTAATACCCGCTATTGGTAGCATTAAGCTCCATTTACTGTGATTTGTGGACATCCCTATATATGAATATGTTGTTAAATAGCCCAGCTTCTCCTTCCTGATCAGTCTTCTTTACTCTGAGTTACAGCTTTATCTAGAAGTGGAAAATATTTTCTATTGTCCGATGAAAAAAGTAATATTTTCTTCTTCTAGTCTAAGAAGTGAGGCACAAATGAAGACTTCCTGATTATCAACTTTCCATTAAAAATCTCTCTGTGAAAGTGGGTTGGACTTTGTTTATTAAGTACATACAGTGGCCAAGGTTGTTCCATGTATTTTGGAAATTTTAAAATGAAATTTCATTTTAAAAAGCTTGTTTAAAAATCTGATGGTATAAAATAATGTGAATTTATTATTTTTTTAAAAATAATAATAAATCTAGTTAAATAATAAACTGAGCACTTTAAAAAAAGCAAGGTTTTCTTTTTCCCATCAAATAAAAAATGAGAGAACACCATTTGCTAAATGCTAGATCAACTTCTCACACCAGATTTTGTGGATACGCTTCTTAAAATATGTGCAAAAGATGGCATATATCCATTGTTGACAGCTTCTGAGTTTGAGCAAGTCCATCTTTCATATATATTAGTCCATATTTTTCAATAAACATTTGCTCAATCTGATCTAGGCATAATCCATAATGTTGGTTTAATCCCTTCCACATTATCCACAAATAAACTAAATGAAGCCTCAAGATTATAAACTTTCTGCTTCAAATCTGCAACATTCCCATATAATCTTTAAAAATAATAATAAACTGAAATAATCCATACAAAAATTGTCATTAATCAAAAAGCAGAAATAAAAGAACCTAGTAAATTCGTGGTTCTGCCTCTTTCCCTCTAACCCAGGGGTAGGCAACCTTGGCTCTTTTATGATTCATGGACTTCAACTCCCAGAATTCCTGAGCCAGCATAGCTGGCTCAGGAATTCTGGGAGTTGAAGTCCATGAATCATAAAAGAGCCAAGGTTGCCTACCCCTGCCCTAACCCCAGCCACAGAAAAAAAGTTAAAAAGACTGTGTAAGGGATCTCATTTGAATGTAGCAAATGCAATGTCAATGGAAGCAAAGTATTAATCCCCTATGCTTACGTTGTATGGATGATCTGCTTTCAAGCTTAACTCCAGAGGCTGCGAGTTTTGAATCCCAAGGAAGTTGTAGACTCAAAATAGCGTCACCTTGTGCCTTTACCCGTGACACTGAACCATTTCTGCAGAAGGTTCCAATGCGGACTCTATCTTTTCCCAGACGACTGCCAATGTTGTAAATAATTTGATCAGGGCAGGTATCTCCAGGCAGAATTTGCCTTAACCATGGAGAGAATTTCAGTTCAAGTCCAACTCTTCTGTTAGCTTTAGCCTCCCAAATGAAAGTCCTATTAAGATGTGGCAATCCAGGAGGCTGAAGCTGAACATCTCCAAAAGGACATGGACCTGACAGGCAATCTAGAAACAAAGAGAAATCTGTAAGACTGATACTTTAATCTGAAATGACTATAATAAATCATATTGATTTGGTCTATGATTTTACTCTTTCTTCTGTTCACACTATCAGAATTTTCTATCAACAATCCATAACTGAGCATTATCATAAAGTTCCTACATATATATAAGTTGTTTTTAACTACTTTATGGGATAGTAGTCTTACTCAGAACTTACTCAGCAATAGATTCTATGGGAATCTGGGAAATATAATCCAAATTACCAAATTTAGTAAGTATGCTTAGAATTGTACTTTATAAATTTTTGCCCTCAAATTGTCATTATTACACTTTGAGGGCAAAGATGTGTACCGGATCATCTATTTTTAAATGGCAGCCTTAGCCTCTGTCTTGTTCAAGCAGTATTCAAGAAAGCTCACTATGGAATTTTGAGCATAATATATTTTTACTCATTTATGGAAGGAGTGTGTGTGAGAATGTCCCATTAAACAAAAAGTCAAAAGATTGTTATACTATAAAAAAATGTAAGAAAATCTGAAATGTAAACTTTAAAGTACATAGTCCTTTTAAAATACTAAGAAAGAAAAAATAGATTTTAATCCATTTCACTGATGGGGTTGTACAAGTTCATTTACATTTGTGACAAGCTCCCAGTAATCTTAAATGCAGTTCATATAACATTGCTTACCAATGTTTTTCTCCACAACTATGAACCAATATTTCTCTGGTGTTGAACAATCAAAGGTAAATTGAAACTTCTGTCCAGGCTTTATGATTTGCTCAGAAAAATGAGTATTTTTTCCTTCACGCAATGCACAGGTATTTACAAAAGAAAACCCAGGTTTTATTTTAACTGTTATGCTTCCACCTGGTTGAAGAGAAATTTCAAAGGCACCTAGGATTAAAAGAGAGAAAATATATGGACCTCTGGCATTTTAAGACCAAGACATTTATTATTATATCATATCATAAAAATATATTTAGGTGCAATACTCCTCCATATTTTGCTTCCCATCATTGAAAAATCATCCTGAAGAATGCAAAGGAGGACACAAGAAGAAAAAGAACAACTTCCTCATCTCATGCAAAAAGCCTCAGAAATTTCACAGAGATTGGATCTAAGGTAAATGTTACAAAGAAAGCTACCACTGTTTCTATTTAAAAAAAATTTCAAAATACAATCTTTTAAGATTTGTAAATTTTTTTCAAAAAAGAAAAGTATGAACATTCGTTTTTTCCATTAAACACCCACAACCTTCTTAAAAATCACCAGCTGACACGCTAATTAAAACTAACAAATCTGTTACAATTAGCAAATAGAAAAGATCCATTGCCTACCTGCAGAGATCAGTTTAAGAAAACATGGTATTGTGAGAACTTTTAAAGGAACCTGGAACACTGCATAGTACAGGTAATCCCCAAGTTATGAGCGTTCACTTAACGCTCGTTTGAAATTACACGATCAGCGCCCCCTAGTGTTTATGAACAAGTCCCAAAATTACGAATATTGCAGCACCCCGGCAGTCGTTTGCCCTTATGAGCGACTGCAGAGGCTCTCCAACGTTCACCCTATTCCCCCCACTCCTCATAACTGCTTCCCTCTCCCTTCCTGCTGCGCCAGACTCACTTACCTTTTTGCCAGTTTCTTTCCCTTTGAGGAAAGGAGAATCAGCTTAAAAATGCTTTTTATGCCAAGAATGGAAGTTTCTGGAGTCTGTGATCTCGCACGAGTGTTTGAAGTTGCGCCAAATCATGGACCTCAGAAACTTTCATTCTCTATGTGAACGATGCCTGTCTCCTGCTCGTGCCCCAACTCCTTTCTGCCTGAGGGCAGGCATGAAGCCTTCAACTGAGTGAGAAGGCCAGGCCCCTTGCACCAGCATCCAGCTTGCCGGAGCTCGCCACGCTGGGGGGGGGGGGAAAGTGACCTTTTTGTCCCCGGAGCCTTGGAGGCCTCCTCCAAGCCACCCAGAACAGAGGCCAGGAGAGGCTTCTGCATGCCTCCGAATGTTGGATCCACGCCTCGGAGGGGTCCTCCAAGCTGCTGTCACCTGGAAAGGAGTTCCAGAGATTGGATCCAAACCTTGAAGGGGTCCTCCAGGCCCGGAATGGAGATGGGGGAGCTTTTACATGCCTCCAGAGGTTGGATCCAGGCATCGCAAACAGCACGAGAATTCAGGTACCTATTCTCTGCAAAAGAGGACCGGTGCCTGAACTCACATGATATTACGTAATCCAGGGGCTTCCATCAACTCTCCTGTTCCTCAAAAGCAGGAACCATGGCAGAGAGAAGACAGATCTTTTCAATGTAAGTGAGTCCCGCACAGCAAAAAGGGAGGAGAAAGCATGAGCTATCTTAGTGGGTCAGGGAGGCCTTGAGGACCTGTCCCATCACTAGGCCGCCCCATGGCCTTCCCCACCCTGAGATACCTCATGTGCACTTAACAAGCCGCATATGTTTTAACAAGAAGGGAGTTTTCTTGTTCGAGGTACGAGATTCACCCCCACGAGTTTTCGACTTACGAGTGGAATGTGCAGGCTCCATTACACTCCTAATTCAAGGCCTACCTGTACACATCATACTCAGGGGGAAAAAATCAAAGTCAGGTTGGGTTCATTCTACTCAAATGCAACTAAACTTTTAGCATGGTCATATGCTGTGTTTAGCAGCTAAAGAAGTGCTACAAGGCTTAACATTACAATAAAGAATAGTACATTCTAATATACTTCAAAATAAAATATACTGAAGATAAGCAAAAGCAGACCTTCAAACCAAGTATGTTCTTCAAATGATTATCAATTGGCCTTTCTCAGGTATAAGCTGAAGGTCAAAACAAGTTGTATGGAGAAAGTAGTGGATGTGTTGAAAAGGCATACTAACTTTCTCTAAATCTTGTGCTTTCTCTAAATCTAATTGTTTATTAGAATTACATACTTTAGGAAAATAGTTTTCAAACAGTTTTTGCCCTGTAAATCACTTAATTTGAGCCTTGACGCTGCAGTAGTTAGAATGTAGTACTGCAGGCTACTTCTGCTGACTGTCGGTTGCCAGCAGTTCGGCAGTTCGAGTATCACCGGCTCAAGGTTGACTCAGCCTTCCATCCTTCCAAGGTCGGTAAAATGAGGCCCTAGATTGTTGGGGGCAACAAGCTGACTCTATAAACCGCTTATAGAGAGCTGTAAAGTATTGTGAAGCAGTATATAAGTGCTATTGCTATTAATCATAAAAAATTGGGTTACATCTTTTCTAATTATTAAAAGGCATAAGCTTTTAAGAGCAGTAGCTCATTCCATTAGATGCACAGAATGGTTACACTGATGTAGGATTTAAATGATGAGGGGGAGGATAGGTTGGTTTAACACATACACAAGATCTGTTAGTCAGAAAAGATTCCAGCGAATTCCTGATTATTTTTTGTTTGTTTCCATAGACACATTTGTCTTTCTACAATCGCACTGGAAACACGTAAGCCAACCAAACAATTTTTGTGGCTATAGTTATTCCACATTATTCACTGTGTTAAAACCTTGGCTGACTCATTACAAAAATCTTGTCCAAGTTGCTGAGAAAACTACTCCATTCTCCAACTACCCATCAACCTAGTCAGCATCTCTTTCCCAATAAAAAATGCAGCTAATAGAAATGATCATTCTCAATTATTATCCAGTGATTCTTTTATTGCATATATCATTTCCCATTGTTCAGAACAGTAACAGCTGTTGATCCAAAGCAATCTCATTTGAATAGCAAAAATGTGAAGCCCAAAGGAAGGATAATCAAAATCTCTACTCACTAAATATCTGGAAGCACAGCATGAGTATTCTGCACGTTCTATGCTTAGGACTAACAAATTTAACAAGGATATAAAAAGTTAATACAAATTTGATTTATAATTATGATTCATAATGAATTTTTTCTTTTTCCTATGTTTCTTCCCACATGTATTCTTATTAGTATTACAGGAAGTATACATCATTCTTAAAAGAAGAGAATTTTTAAAGCTTATTATAAATAAGTGTTTCAGCATGACAGACTGGATTCTGAGAGTTCAGTTCTCCCATGCTTCAATAAAACAAACAATTGGTAGGAAGGAACCATGTAGGGACACATAAAGGCCTAGACATCCAAAACTCTAAGGCCGCATCAGCATTGTGGTTGCCGTTGGGGGCCCGGGTGGGTGTGGCTGGGATGGGCGTGGTCTACTGGGTGAGCGTGGCTGGGATGGGTATGGCCTACTGGGTGGGCATGGCCACCTCAACATCGCTTGCGCCAGGAGCGCCTGTGCAGGCCTGTGCTGGACTGGGGTGGATCCGAGGGTCTCCAGCGGAGGAGGGTGGGACCAGGGCAAGCGCCGGGGCATGGTCCACTGGAGGAGCCTCACCGTCCATCTCAGGTTATGCGGGGGGGACGGACGGTGGCACAGGCTACCAATAGCCCTGGGCAGCGGAGGTCAAGTGCCCAGCCATCGAGTTCAGGGACCCCCACAGCCCAGCCTAGCCTAGCCTAGCCCCACTTCCCCAATGGGACACCCAGCTGTGCTTACCTCCTCCTCAAGGCTGCTGCTGCTGTGCTCGCTTTCCTTGGCCAGGTTGCTCATGGTGGGTGCAGGAGGGTAAAGTGCGTGGTTCAGAGGAAGGCCCACTCCTTTTCCATGCAAGGAGACCTAGCTTTGTAACCAAAGCATCCTCAGCAATAGGATGGGAGACCACCAGGGGTTAGCGAAAGGGCAGCAGGGCTGCTGGTGGCCAAGTGCTAAGGCAGGACTTCCCTCAGACCCTCCCTCCCTCTCATTCCAATCTTCCTCCTTCTTCCTTCCTTCCTTCCCTTCCTCCCTCCTTTTCATTCCCATCTCCTTCCTTCCTTCCTTCCTTCCTGTTTCCCTCCCCTCCTCCCCTCTCTCTGTGCCCAGGAAGGGACGAGGTGATGGGGAGAGGTTGGCAGTGCTTCTCTCAAAGAATAACAGAGTTGGAAGATACCTTTGAGGTCTTCTAGTCCAACCCCCGGCTCAAGCAGGAGACCTATACCATTCTAGACAATGGAATATCCAATCTCTTCTTAAAAGCCTCCAGTGATGGAGCATCCACAACTTCTGAAGGCAAGCTTTTCACTGGTTAGTTGTTTTCACAAGTTCTTAGTTCTAGGCTAGTTTTCTTCTTGATTAATTTTCATCTATTATTGTTTTCTGATGCTTTGGAAAATAGGTTGACCCCTTCTTCTCTGTGGCAACCTGTCAAATATTGGAACGCTGCTATCATGTCACCACACACTGTTCAGCCAGGCATATGTAGAACAACAGCATATTTTAGTCAAACAGCACTAAGTAAATTACTACTACTATTTTTATTTCTTAAAATACCACACTTTTAATATTGTTTTAAGCAGAGCTGGTGATGCTTTTCAATAACTGTCTTTGAGAGTTTTCTTGCAAACCACCCTGAATTTCTCCAAAACATTTAATTTTGAATTAAACGTTGATTTAATAAATTAGGTAGAAGAAACAAAAGTTTAAATACATCTAAATCCAGTGGTGGGATTAAAATAATTTAACAACTGGTTCTCTGCAGGGGGGAGGCGGGGAGAGGCGCTGCCATGAGGCAGGTGGGGGAAGCTGTCCCATGCACCCCGCAACCGTTTACCATGCAGAAGGGCCCCCACAGTCAGGCTTATTATGCCCCAATACCTGTCGCACCTCACCTGTTCGGTAGTGACTTTTCCCACTTTCTCCTTCTTCCTCCTCCTTTGAACAGCCCTTTGCTCCCATTGCTGCTTTTTCAGTCCAAGAGTTTTGTCTGGAGCCTGTGCAGAGGGTCTTTGGAAACGAAGCCCTGCAGCGATCAGGTGGGGTGGGAACCATTCCCTTTGCTTTTGGGCCAGTTCTGAAATGGGCTGGAAGG